ATATTGCTCTGTTTGTGCCGGGGCACCGGATCTTTGGGGTGAACCAGCCTTTGCCGTAATGTGTTTTGGGGTTTGAAAGCCACTGGGACATCATGTTTCTGTTTTAAGGCTGTAAATGAATGATGCAGCTACGTTTCCATCCGTGCATTTAAAATTTAAGGTGATATGTATTTGAAGTTAGGCTTACCAAACTATCAGAAACTGCTCATTTCAACTGAAACTTTATTTAAAATCACTCCAAGACAACTTCACAAAGCAACATAAAGCAGCGCAGCTCATAAAACTGCAGGTAATTTTACAGCTTTAATGTTTTAATTAACATAAAGAATATTGTTTTTCACTTATCTTGTACAAAATCTCACAAATCTGTGACAATCTGAATGAAAACATCACAGCAGAGCATCTTAAAACTGCAGTTTTACAAACTAATGTTCTGGTAAAGGTGCAACAAGGAACAAAAAAAATGAAGCAGCTGTCATTAAAGCATTTGTCCTTTCAAGCTGTAATCTGTCAAAGAAAATCCCTGCCACCACTAAATCAGCAGGTTTGAAAATTTCACCAGTCATCATCATTAGGATCTTTTCTTTCACAGCAGATATTTTGGTTTCTCTCCAGCAGGAACTAATCTGACCACATGAATAATGTCAGCTGTGAATCAGCTCAGTGTCCAGCAGAACACGACAAAAAGTACAACAACTGGACCCTGAAACTCAGAGCAGCTAATTAAGGTTATTATCCCCCAGCAGTGATTTTCCTCCTCTGACACGCCGGCTTTCATCTGAGAGAAGGGCAGCTATTAGGATTAATCATTCAGCTCAGACAAAGAGCTTCCTGCGTCATGGGAAAATAAAAACCTCTAAAACTGCCCTGTTTGTCAGACTTTTTAAAAACTTTAGGGCTGAACGGACTTGATGGATTATCTGTAAATCCATATTTGACTTCTGAGGTTTGACGCAAACTGATTTCACAAAATTCACTTGAACTGCACAAAAGCTAAACTCTTCATGTGTTTTTCACTTGTTTTTATTCAAGTTAAAGTCTGAAGGTAATGCAAGAAAAACCCTTTTCACATCCTGCTGCAGCTCTCTGATACAAACTATTGTGATCAAAAGAAAATCAATCTGTTTTTTTCATTCCTTTTTTCTTTTTTGCAGATAAGCGCTCTGCAGAAGCAAATGACAGCAGGTAGCAGTCGTTTTGGTAAACACTATAGAAAATATTTATTTGAATTCTCAGATGTTAAGAAATTTGAAACCTGAAACAAATGACCTCGAAAAGATTTAAAGTTTACAATAAAATGCGTCAACAGAAATAAACAACAGCGGTTYTGTTTTGCCATCACTAAAACCCTTTTCCCCTCTCAAAGTCTCAGATTTTAACTAATATGTTAAGACTTCTGTAAAGTTATTTACAAATGACCTTCAAAATAAAAGACTTAGTCAGCGACGACTCTGCAAAAGACGTAAAATGATTTCTGCAAAGACGGAGAAGAATAAAACTGTAAAATAAAAATTTCAGATGTTTTTATCACACATCTGATCAGGAAATGTAGAGGTATGAGAAAACTCAAGTAAAATAAACTAGAAATGTTAGAATGCTGAATCTCTGGTAAAAACTAAAAATAAATCTCAGGAAGTGAAGTTGACCACAGATCGGATAAATAACTTGATTCTAATGAACTAATTTTTTATTGAATAATTCTAATTTAATTATGAAAGTTAAATTAATTTTGAACATTTTCTTAGGTTTCTAAACTTAATCAGAGTTTTATAAATTACAAAACAAACATTATTTAGAAAAATAAACTCTGTGGGGAAAATAAAATTCTTGGAGCTCTCACTCTTTACTGCAATGAATGTGATGCTTTTTTGTGATTTAAATCAGGAACCACTGGATAATTATTTATTGTATTATTAAACTAAATGACAAGTTTTTCTGCTATAATTCAACCTTATTCCCCACCTTTTTATTTTGGTAAAAACTACCAAAATAAAACAAAAATAAAAGCTAACTTTAAGCTCTTTTTGTTAGCTTGGCTAAGTGGAAATCTTTTTTTTAATTACAAATTATGTTTTTGTTTAGAATAGTTGTCTTTCAGATTCCTGATCTGTAGCAGATGAAGATAAAACACATCTGTTAAACAGTGTTAAACAGAAAATCTGACTCAGATGTTTGTTTACTGATCAACATGCTGGATGATAAATTCTAGTTATTTTTAACACCGTGTTTGTTTTGGTTTATCTATAAGTCCAAACACAACAGCATCTTCATCTCCATCTGTGCACCGCCCCGTCTTCATCACTCCTCCCGCTCCTCTTCCTCCTCCCATCTGTGCTGCTGAACCTCGACCCCTCTCCTCCGGGGTCTGGGTGAGTCCGCCTCCTCGGGTTGGCCCTCCTGAGCCCCTTCTTCCTCATCCCCACGCCCCATCTCCTCAACAACCTCCTCCTCATCATCATCATCATCGTCCCCCTCACTCTCATCTTCATCAGACTCGTCAGACTSATCTGAGTTGTCCTCTTCCAGATAGCGATAACCTTTGACCTGAGACAAAAAAAACCTTCAACACCAGTTTATTTCAAACGCAGCTTCCTTCCTGTATGAAATGTAAAGCTTGTGATTGGTCACCTTGTGTCGCGGTCGAGGGATGCGAGGCATTCTGGGCTTTAATTTCTGAGCCAGGCGGCGCTCCATCACCCAGTAGCAGTAACAGGCCAGCAGTAGAGTGGCTAACAGGATGGAGAGTTTGGCCTAAAATGCAAAGAACAACAACAAAATAAAAAAAACCATCAGGCACGCTGCCAAACAACCCTCCAGACTAAATCTGTCCTACCCTCATGGGCATCTGGGACCACAGGTAGACTATAAAGATGGCGATGGCCTGCCACCAGTGGTAGATGGTGTAAACAAAGTCCAGACGTTCTTTTTCCTCAGCGTACAACATTCCAACCACAACTGGTACACAAAACAGAAAAACATGAGAATTTCTGTTCATGTTTGTGGAAGAAATGATATTTAACAAATTAATCTTAGAGAAATACAAATGACATTTTCTTAATTATGTGCCATGGAGCATTTAGAACAACCTATCAAATAAAGATTCAGTTTATACCTTGCRCTCAACTTTCTCTTTATTTTGTCTTTTATATTATCTTGTACCTTTTATCTTGTATATTTTATCACAATNCTTTTATCTTGTATATTTTATCACAATCCAGCACATCAGATAAAAAATAAACCTTGCAACAATTTAATTATTTGATACTAAAATAAGAAGAGAATTAAAAAAGATCATTAAAGCTGATTCTCTGTTGCTATTTCCACAGTACTGTTGCTATTTTTAAGCTATTTGGAAAATGTGCAATAATCTGTTCTATGTTTTAGACCTCACAAAATAATAATAATAATAATAATATCGCCCCTTTAATGAACGGCTATAAAAAAATACAAAGTATGCAGAAGTAGATAAAAAATGGATAAAAAACAGTGTGTGACAGCAGATAAACCTGACGGCACTCACTGCTGACCCCAGTCTTGTTCAGGGCGGTCCCGAGTCCCCACAGCGCAGCGATGACCAGCAGGGGGCCCAGGTACTGAGGTGAGTCAGGTTTTACAGACAAGGCCAGCAGGACCACCAGCAGCACCCCGTGAACCACAGCGCCCCCGATCAGACAAACCCACCGAGGGAAGCGGAGGAGGCTGAGGGAGAGGAGGGAGAACACGGAGCAGGAGAGGCCGTAGACCACTATCAGGAGCCACAAGTACTTCAGGCCCAGAATACAGACTCCGTAGGACTGTGGAGGACAAAAACACACACTGAACAACACAACCCTGCCTGATGTCTGAGCCTTTTCAAAACCATTCTATTTTACTACCGAGGTGCAGTACCAGGGAGAATCCACTGACGGCAAACAGGACTTCAAATCCGCTGTAGATGAAGAACGGACAGAGCAGTCGCAGGCGGTAGTCCCTCAGGTGTTTGAAAGGCAGCTGGAAGATGTTTCCCCAGCCGATACTCCGCAGATCGATCTCCTCTGTGGGGCGGTAGGCGGGGCCACACAGAAGGAGGAACTGTGGAACCAAACGCACAGATTGCTTTATTCAGGAGCATCCTTTCCGTAATCTAAACACAAAACCAAATTAAAATCCAAATTATATTAAACAAGGGGTTTGGATAATGGAGGAATGGCTGTTTAGCTCTCAGCTGATATTTTGCTACTTTTAGCTCCTTTAAATTTTAACTCAATTTCAGCAATTTCCACTGTTTTTCCACAGAAAATCAAATGACTGTAGTTTAAATACTTCCAGGTAACAAGCCACCTGGAAACTAAAACAYGTAAAGTAAATTCTAACCTTTTAATGCTCTGACAGGTCTGCAGAACTAGTCAAATAAATTTTAAAAAGTTGTTTAAATTGCAACTTTAATATTTATCTGTAGTATTCAGACCATCAGAAAYGGCAGAAACCTGTTTCAAGTTGAATGTTCTTCACCTTCAGGAGGAAACAGCTGACAAAGTCAACAACTAGCTGGTTGATCAGTCAAGAATTTAGCAGCTAAAGTCTGGATGTGAACAGAATTAACCAGGGAGTCCCCAAAATGTCTCAAAACCTTCATGACCAGGGACGGACAACTGGCAGCCCGCGGGCCACATCTGGTCCACAGGTGACTTCTGTCCAGCCCGCTAATGAGCCCCTCCCATTTTTTAAGTAAAAATGACCTCAAAGCAGCTCTTTGCGTAATTTTTGAAAATTATAAAAATGTATAAAAGTGACTCAGTGGCACTGAATTGATGAAAGGATTTGTTTTATTCAATACATTTGTACAGCAG